TCGTTTATACATTTTTACCATTGGATAATCAATCACGGAATATCAGATTCTTTTTGCTCGTACAGAGGCAAGGGACAAAAGGAATGCCATTGATTCTCGACAAACACGAAGCTTCTCTTTCTCAACCCTATTCCCTGCGAAAAGTGTACGTAGCAAAAAAGGGTTTGCCGCTCGGAGAGAAAAAAACGGGGGAAGAAGATTCGAGCAAGAACAGACCTGGAGTGACGAAAATGGACTCTGCTGAGAGAGCTAGACGAGAAACTTCTTTTCTCTTCCCTCCGTTTGGGTCGTTTGAAAAGATCTTGAAATAAGAAAGTTTACCCAACGTGACGATAGTTAAACTAATGATCTGACGGAGTCATTAAACATTAGGAATTACAATTGATTAACAAAATATAATATATATAAAACAGAAATTCTAATCAGTCCTCCCATCCCTTATTTATATAAACGAGCAAATAAATGCTTTAAATATTGTTTAAGTATTTCGATTGCGTAACAGTGAAAAATTGCGGGATTCGATTGGCTGGAAATCTTGATCGCCACGTGGCTTTATATTTGATCGTCAGAGACGTTAGTACGAGGCCGGGGCGTAGATACTTTTACTCGTTTTGGTTATCGCATTCTCTTTCATCCGCTGGCTCCCTTTCCGAGACCGAATCGTTCGGGTAAGCGTCTCTCCTCCGGAGTTGAAATATACAAAATGAAATATGAAATAATGGTTCGTGCCTTGTGGCTGGCTGAAGGCACGGGCGCACCCACATCTACGCCCCCATGCGCCTATGTACCTATACGGCGATCTCGTATACACCGATCCCGGCGGTGTACATATGTACGCGCACACCGTCTACATCCGCCTGGCGCAAAACTTTTTCGTTCTTGTCGCGAACATCTTCCGTCCGTATTAACCCCTTATGCCCGCTTAATGATATTCCACGCCGAACGTAGGGAACGTCGAACGCAACTGAGCCAGATTCCAGACGTCCGTCGTCCGGTCGTCCGATCGCTCGGCCAAGCCCCCTCGTAATTCGTATCTGCGCTTCGTCCGGCCGCTTTTCCGCTTCCTCCGTCGACGGTGATTAGGGATCGGCCATGAATTAAAAATATCGAACCTAGACTCTGGTCGGTCCTCTTGCAAACTTTATCACGACGTGTACGAGAAATTTATGAACATAGAACATCAGCCTCGATGTTATTCAATGATTATTAAAATTTCACATGCACTCTATTGATATTGCCACTTACTTCGATAGGTATTTCAAATTATTTATGAGATTCACGAGTAACGTTGTTCTTTTATCACTTTGCACGCTGCGCTCGTTGGCCGAGGATCGCCGGTAAGCCATCAATTGAACGGTATAATATTTAACGTTGGAACATCGAACCGTGGCCCCGTTGCGACACCGTTCCGACTAACGGACGACCTTCGTGTATTTCAGGGAAGAAATGGCGAGGGTTGACCCCGCAGGACAGAAGGCCGTACGTCGAGGAAGCCGAGAGGCTGAGGGTCATACACATGCAGGAACATCCGAACTACAAGTACAGGCCGCGGCGCAGGAAACACGCGAAACGGGCCCCGGGGGCCCCGTCTTCTCCTCCATCGGCGACCAACACTGCGGCCAATAGGTCCAACCCCTCTGGTACCACGATTCATCATTCCATGTAAGTCGATATCTCCTTACCTCGCAGCGGCGTTTTAAAACTTGGCGTCCACGCGGCGCTCGACAATTGAGCAAGGAATACTGCTGCTGATTCACTCAATTTCACGTGAAACTGTCCAATGCATATCAAAGTTTGATGTTCTTGATTTCTTGAACGGATCAGGAAATTATGGTCGATATTTATTTAAGTTCCAAGATCGAGGAATTCCTC